CCTGAAAAAATATTTCTCTGTAAAATAATAGTATTCTATATGGTTTGATGTAGTAGTCTTGCACTGATTCTGAATGTAATATTTTATTACATAAGAACGGTTTTAAGTCGAGAAAGATAGGAACACTTGAAAAACCGTGACTTTTTTGAAAGTTTGCTATAGAGCTCGTACTCTAAAAACAAGAGTAGAATAATAAACTTTTCATGAACCTTTGAAGTATTTATGGAAGCAAGGGTATATGAAAATAAGAAGGATTTATTATTTTATCCTATAGAGCAGATTATATTACGGTTGCAGTGAAAAACGGCATCTTTGTATGATTCTACTGGAAGAATTTATTATGCTTCGTATACTTTAACTGAGTCAGTATATACTTAGGATAATATTTCTTTATGAATCTTCACACTATAATGATGTCGTTAAATATATGGATTTACTTGTAATTTTATAGTAAAACAATATTTTGTTAATTTATATTTTGTGAAACACGATCTCAAAGGAATATTGGTATATACAGAGTAGAAATTTGGATCCCCGTCTCCTCTCACAGATCGTGATAGACAAATTAACTATTTATTTAAATCATAATCTAATTAATTAAAGTATCTGATAATAAACTAATCTCTAATTAATATTTCGTGAATAAATCTTCCAGCACAAACCGTGACAGACCTTTTGATGTACGATTAGGGATTATATATCATTAGGATCTCATGAGAATATATCAACTGTTTCCTTATCGCAGTTCTAGATGTTTAAGTAAAAAAATGATGAAGACATGGATTTCAAGGTATATCGAAGAAAACAATATTCGCGTAATTAGTAAAAACAACTACATCGTGTTTGTGCTAAAAGCTTTTTTCAATGACAACTATCGTTGTTTTATTGTGTTTTGTCTGTTCATTATGCTCTTGCTCTAGTGAAGAAATTGAGATAATTACAAGCGTGAACAAATCAACATAATCTTTTTTTTTTGTCTATATCAAATATTTAACATGTGAAGCAATAAAGTTCGATGAAAGATTGAATTTTTGGCTGATCAACTAGCGTGATTTTCACACTATCAAGAGAAAAAGAAAATTCGATTTCATATCAACGAGGATTTCAAGAAACAGATACTTTAGACGAATAATTTGGATCATCATATCAGTATTCGTATCATTCTACAAGATTGCTGAATTTACCAAATGAACCAGTTATTCCGTTTGTAGTATTTCTATTCTAAGCACGAAAACATTCCACCAACTCGTTTACGTGACACAAATGAACTTCAAGTAAAATTAATCGCTTACCATTCTTCTATCTCTAATAGAACATACTCCTGTATATTCTTCGTAAACTAGATCAGCCAAATACTTGTTTTAAAATTTATTATTAGTACCAGAATTAAGTAGATGTGTATGTAAGACAAATATCTCGAAAATGGTAATAGTTAGTGGCTTATGGTTTTCACCAACTGAAAGAGGAGACACCGCAACATCTTTTTTGTCCGATTATATACAATACAAGTTATTTTAAAACCAATCGTTTTTTTTTACAAAGAATTTAAAAAGCCTAAAAATTGACTATCGTTCCGATGAAGTTTTGATAATAATTAAGCCGATAAAATAATATTCTTGCCCCTTTTATTTTCTTAGAAATGATAATAGCCTCCAGCAAAATGATTGAATTAGGAAAACAGTTTTTCATTTGGAAATGAAAACCATCTTCTTTATACACATACTATTTTGTTGAGTACAGAGAAACATAAAATGAACAAACAAATCAGTTGCCAACACTCAAGTTAAGTTGTCTAACTCGGAAAATTTAACAAGCATTATTGGGTAATAACAAAAGGCCGAAAATGAAACCGAAAGGGTGTGGGTAGACTTACATATGGCTTCAGGAAAGTCTTTTTTCATTCAGGAAAAACAATAGCCATCTATCTATGCAGCTGAGTTTAGGAATAGCTACATTTCTATACTACGTGCGACACAAATAGAAGTACAGCGTGAGCCCATACCGTATTATTATTGTCCAAACTCGCGATAACTCACGCTTTTAGTCAGAGCCCCTGTTAATCACAGTTAAACCACAATCTGGTTCTAACTATCAATAAGAAATAAATTATTATTTTTTTATTTAGATTTGATACAACATCTTATCCAAGTGAAGTAATGAGTTTTAATGAAAATCAAAGACCCTGTCATGAATCCTTCCAAAGAGTATATGAAAGAGTATTTGATTTTCATAGACCTTTAAAGGGTTTATTTTTTTATGCTTTTTTTTACAATGCAAGAAATTTTGTGCTAATTTATGCTATTTATAGTAACCGAGGACATATGGAAGGATATTCTAGCAAAGTTCGAATGAATTCTCTTAGGAAAAATCACTAATTATTGAACACATATTTTTATTAATCGGTAGCAGACAGGATAAAAATTTATAATATATATTGTTTTCGGATGTTATTCTAGTAAATCCCGTAAAAAATGTCTGTTGTATAGATGCCGCTGTTTCGAGATTAATATGTAATTCCGTATTTTTCCACTCTACTTGAACTTTGGACGCAATTAAATAGGGCACATTCGATTTATATGTAGCGCTACTTGAAGTTTAAGGAAATACACTTCCGACTTTTCATTTCATGTACACTTGGTTGCTCACTATACCACACCGACATTGTCCACAAAGTCGTCCCCACATCCCACACATACTTCCACAATCCATATTCACCCACGAACGTTCGTAATCATATTTACATCCACACTCATATTCTCAGCAGGACTGCCATATCTTAATTTTCAAATGAGGTGTACCAGATTTCAAATGGGGTACTCTTGGGGTACATTTTTTTTACAATGGGGTGTGTCATTGAGGTACATAACTTTTTCTTGAAATAGAAGGGTTAATGTGGAAACACTTAAAAGAAACTACTTTTCTATGAAACAACATACTATTCAATTTTTCTTTTTTAGAAATCAATTTCATTGTTGTTCTTTTAACACAATAAAATACTCTCAGTTTAATCATGACTTTTAGAAACAAATCTAAGTACTATAAAAATAAACGATATAACATTTTTCATTAAGGCATAATAAATATTGAAATCAACTATAGCACTTTGGCGTCAAATTCAAGATGAAAACTTTTTGTTTTTTTAGTTTTGGTGTTTTTTACTTTTTCGTATTTTTCTGTAAGCAAGAAACATAAAACAGTTACTGTATATTGTGAGTATAGTTATAGAGAGACCGCTACCAGCTACAATTAACATTATTTCAAAGAGTAACAACTGTAATTAAATATAAATAATTGTTCCTATAATGTACACGTTCGGACAAAAATCTTTCCCTCTGTACCTTTTTATGATGTCATACTTTGATTCAAATTTATTGCCAAATAGAGATATAACATGAGAATTTTATTTCAGTTTGGTGTACAGATCACACAGTAATAAAACTCTCATGTCATATCTCTGCTCGATAATAAATTTGAATTCAAGTATGGCAGCATAAAACAGATAACGGGGAAAAGACTTTTGTCCAGAGATGTATAAATGTCTCTTCTCTCATCTGATTTTGTTTTATTCCTCTGGTGAGCGTTTATTATAGTTTTACAGTTCTATAATATACTTATACAAAATGTCAAAATGGGGTACGTATGGCAGTCCTGATTCTCAGGGACATAATTAATGTTGTAAAGGTCAGATTTGTCTTCTTGCTTGGAAGTAATCTATCATATAAAAGAAGCATTACTAGAAAGTTCCTTGTCACTCGATGTGTATTTTCTAATAAGACAACGTTATTTCATGTGATCAATTTATTATATGCAAAAATCTAGCAAAAACAATTTGCTTTATGTTTTTCAGATGCGAATAAAGATTCTAAAAAGATGTGTTGGCATTGTCTGTGATCTTAAGAAATGGCGAAGAAAATATCTCGATTATACTCTTATCACTTTATTTATAGTTTTCACAATTGCCATATGGGTTATTGAATTTAACCTGCGGGTAAAAAGTCTTCGCACAATATATCTATTTGATTTTCGTCCACTTATAGGTTGCAGCAGAGAATCAAAGATAGTCAGCTAGAATGAGAATTTTATACTCTTTGTAAATATATATTCAGAACTTTTTTCTGACCTAAGCTCGATCCAATGAGTGCAAATATTTGATGGAGATCAAAAATGGTGTTGGTACCAAATACTGATTAGTTTCGAGGGTCTTGGTAACTATGTTCACTCTTTTTTTGGATGCTCAAATGTAATTAAGGAGAATCAAAGCGAGTTGGTTAGAAGCAGAATTCGATGCTCTTTCTAAATATATCTTTAGAATTTTACTCTGACTTATGGCTAGATAATTGTAACCAAATACCTGAATGAATAAAAAAATGTCGTTTGTATCATGCAAAGTAGGCTTTTTTCTATCATGAGCAATTGATTCAAAAGATATTTTGGAATAGTTTTTACTTTCTATTGTTGTAGAGAATTTACTGCTCTATAAAATTATGCTGCAATAAGCTAGAACTTAAAAGAATCACAATCTACGAAACCGGTTTGAAAATGCTACTCTTTAGATGATCTGATATTTTTCAAAAAAGAAACGTTTTTTTTTCCGAATTTCGATATTTTAAATGCAACAGATTTTGATGGTTTGTAAGGATATGTAAGAAGTGAAGTGAATTAGGCATCTTATAGAGCAAGTTTCGGTCTACAAACTTGTATATAAGAGAACTTTCTTATAATTTGAATTGAGGTTGTTTTAATTAAAATACAAAAATAGGCTACATGAAAAATCCTGTACGAACGCCACTTTTGGTCCCCATCAAATATTTGCATTAACTGAATCATATTTAAGTCAGAAAAAAAAATTCTGAATATATATTCAGAAACAACATGAAATTCTCATTCTAGCTGACTAATTTTGATTTTCTCCTGCAATCTGTGAGTGGGTAAAAATTGAACAGATATGTTGTGCAAACACTTTTTATATACAGGTCAATGTGTCGATGAAAGAACAACAGATGAAATCCGCAAAAAATCGTTCTCGAATAGTTTTGGGTATTCTCACAGATCAACAATTGATGAATACTCTTGTCATTGCTTCTCGACAAACATGGATACCTTCTTTTCCGTATGATCTCTTTTACTTTGTTGGTCGACGTCATGAACATTCTCTTCAATTTTCACGAAAATTAAATGTTGTCGAGTTACCTACAGATGACACTGAATATCCACCAGTGAACAAAACATTTCTTATGTGGACCTATTTTTATATGCAACATTTATCTCGTTATGACTACTTTATGGCTATTGATGCGGACACTTATGTAAATGTTGAAAATTTGCAAATAATGCTGAACGAGATCAAATGTCAAGATTGCTATGTTGGTTATCCAGCTAAAGGAGAGCCATACGAGCAAAAACAGCTAGGACTGCGTGCTCCATACTGTCTTGGTATGGGCTATGTGATTGCTCGCAATACACTTGGTCAATTCGCTCCACACATCGAAATTTGTCGTCGATCAACTGTAGCAAACCATTCTGATACTGAATTAGGACGATGTATTTATCGATTCGCATCAGGTCTATCATGTACAAAGACCCCAATTTCGCTAGAAAGAGTTATGTACACAACGAATAATCAAGGAGCCATCATTCGATTTACACACGATTCAAGAGGACGACTTCTAATAGAATTTCCAAAAGCACCACCAACTCGATTCTTCAAAGCTGCTCTTGTTCATCCGTTAAAAACATCTCATGCGTTTTATCAATTTCATCGTCAAGTCAAACTGCAATTACGACCCATACTGCCACCAGCTTTCTTGAACGGTAGCTGCGTAGCTAATCCAGTCATTCAAAATGAAATCTATCCTCAAAATCGACCTGTACTTGAATGTCGATTGCGAATACCAAAGCAATCTGTTTATAATCTAAGTTCTCTAAGTGCTTTTGTAATTACTTTGCGAGGTTATGAGCAGCGTGTGCAGCGAACAATCAATAAATTTGAAAAACACGACATTCATCTACAACCTTTCTATGGTGTATCAAATGTTAGTATTCCGAATACGACAAATATAACCAAAGGTGAATGGAACCTTCGGTTGACAATGATTCGTTTGATAGAAACGGCAATCAAAGCTAACCTGCAGCAAGTTCTTATAGTTGAGGATGATGCTATTCCACATCGTCGCTTCAGTCATCTTTTCAAGGCATTGATCCATGACCATCGATGCAGAGAATGTGTGTCTGGTGGTATCTTGATGCTTGGATCAACGACATGGTCTGCTGGTTGGAAAACTCTCGATCGATACAACACTGTCGAAACGGGAATGTGCCGCAATATAGGCACAGAGACCTACGGATCGTTTGCCATTCTATTCCATCATGCAACATTCCAACCAATTCTTGCTTGGTTGAAGGCAAAGATCATACCACAACCTTACGATTTTGTATTTGCTCATCTTGTTCGTCTCGGTTATCCTGTAAGACTTGCTTTGCCAAATCTTGTTATCAGTGATATTAGACATGAATCACTTATTCGACCTCGTCCTAACAACACTTCTTTCCATAATCTAACACTTCGGGCAAAAATTCATCGTTGGGAAATAGAAAATTACATGATTTCATCTTTAGATAAAATATATTGACGCACAATACAGTCCGATTTTGTCGAAAACTAACCATCCGATTAGATGAACATCAGACTTGAATGTATCAATTTACAAATCTAGTATAGAATGATATTTGCATCGAGCAAGGCCTAGGTCAAAAGATCGGTGATAGATTCTTATACATCTGTATCGGATTACATCAAACTACGTATAAGATCCGATAATACGATTGTGCACAGTCATAAAAAATCTTACTGTTGAGCTTTACTGTATTTTCTTACTGTGTTAAAATAATTCTCAATTCCTTAGAGCATTGTTCAATGATTGTGATTGAAATGTCTTATTCAAGTTTAATACACAATGCGTAAGCATAAATAGACGTTATTGAAGGTCATGGTACATAATTTGATGCAACTATACTCTTGCGCTTATAATCTTATAGCTATATTCCTTCAACGATGTCCTTGCACCAATACCGTTATACTATCCTAGGGAAAATCTTTGATGTTTCCGCGACGGATCCTTGAAAGATCTGATCAGGATCTTGCAGGGACTCGTCCTTTTCTCCTGAGAAAACGACTAAATCATGAAAGAAGCGTGTAGCCACAGAATGGTGGGAGCCTGTCACGATTTCAATAATTCAAATTTGAAAAACAAAAGATTTCTGATCACATTTTTCAGGATATGACTGGGCTTTCTTGAGGATCTTATCAGTTTCTTGGCAGGATTTTCTAAATAGAATAGAAAATATATGAACACATAGAGTATCGATCTCTAGACTTTCAGTTTACATATTGATTAGCTTACCCAATTAGATATGCCATGTCATTCTATATCCCTCTAACATTCAATATCTTCATTTCTAACTTTAATATAAACTTCTATTTGAATTTTTTATGAATATAAATTATTTCAAAAAATTTTGAAAACGCAATACTATTTCGCATATTTATTTTTGTCGGTAAAATGACAATATTTTTTTTATTTCCATTCGATTTTAAATATATTTTGATTTTTTTTCGAACATAATCAAAACTATAAGCAGTTTTTATCGAAAAATTTGCTGTCGAGTAAAACTATCTATTTAATGAAAAAATTTTTGAAGTGACTAAATTCAAATGATTACTCTGATTTAATGACTCTCAATGTTTTTCTTGATAAGACTAAAAGAAGAATTCATTGCCATAGTTCAAATTTCAAAAACAACTTTTATATAAATTGTGAAATGATTTAGGAAAACTTTTCTAAGCTTCTTTTAAGATTCGTTCTATTTCTTGATGAAAAGAACCAGATCAAGATCAAGATAAAAATACTAGTAGATCATTTAGTTCTTAGAATTTTATTGTAGGCCGAACAAAAATATAACATAATCTTAAAAAATTCTTCTTTTCATGATTATAGAGATATTCGTATTGAAATTCCGTTGTGATCTACAGATTTTTAAATCTTGAACGGATTCTCACCTGAAGCTTGCTAGAAACGTGAAGGAACACTTTCATTTATTCCTGCTAGATTTCTGACAGGATCCTGAGAATAAAATTTTGAATGGCGTCTAAACATAAACTTGGAAAGACCTTGACTAGATCCCTATATTTTCTTATCAAGATTCTGATCATACTTGTACCTTTTTTAAGAGTTGGAAATACCTGTTCTTGAACATTTCCGTGTAGAATCATGATCGAAGCTTGCCAGGATTGATATATGTTCACTGACCCGGCGGAAATCTTTAAACATATCTGTTCAAGATCTCGAAAATGAGGCGTATGTTGAAAAAGATTAATCGAATCAATAAAAATGACAAGAGATACCTTTGATGTATAAAATGTTCAAATAATATTGAATATATTGTTAGAATAACAAAATAAATTTCAGATTGATAAGATATATGCAAATAAAAATAAACAAGTATACGTAAAGATCAAATATTTCAATTGATGATATCTATCCAAAAACGATCAAGTTTTTGTAGAGTTTCATCATCATCAATCGAAAGATTAATTGAAATAATTTATCAATGATCGATGTTAAATGTTTTTGACAAATAATATCAAATTCATGTTTAGATGTGGATCGAAAATCAAGACCATAGAAACTATAAAAAAAGATGTCTACCACTGAAATAATTGAATAGATAGTAATAAGTCATCGATCAATAATTCAAACTTATCTATTTTGTTTTTAATAACTGTACATTTAATACTATGCAAATTTTTATCAAAATGATTTATCTTCTAGGTCATTATTGAGAAAAAGAAACATTAGAGAGAAATCCATTAGGATTCAAAAGTATATTTTCTTTTGTAAGAAAATACAATCATGAATATTTAAAATTTATGTTACATAATTTAACTACAGATATGTATTTCAAATTGTTGATGTTTGCATTAGTTTCTCGTCATTTTTGAAACCCAAGCAGAGTATAACAGTGTCACAAACATTGATTCACATGCATTCACCTCTCTTCTACACCTAAATACCTATTTGTTTCTCTTATCCTGTTTTTCGTTTGCTTTTCGTCTTTCTTCGCTCTCGTTATCTCACACATGCTTGCACGTCGATTCGTATCGGAGAGAATGCAACGAAAAATTGAATACCAACAGCTACTTACATACAACCTACCTGTTGGTGTATGTAGATCTGTTCAGTAATTCTATAGATATTAATATGCTGATTTATGCTACAGCTCAATGTTATGACTAACAAGTATTCGTAGAAAGAATGTGCAGAGAGATATAAAGTTAGATACTATTCAGGCAAACGAATACATAATTGTATTTCACCGTCGCAATATCGTTATCATGACACGTGCTGTACTCGACAAACTACTGGAAGCCAATTTTGAGCAGTACCAAGTACTGTGGAACGAGCATAGATATCATTTGCACACTTCTCATCATCTCGGTTCATTGGTATTACTGGGCGACAGCGATTAGCAACTCAAAGATATTTATGAGAACATCATGTGCCATTATACCGATAAGTATGACCCCTCACTACACGAAATTACAAAAGACAATTGGCGCAATTCGCTCGGCGATGCTCGATTTTATTTGAGCTATTGAGACTTCTTCAACAAAGAGCTGCCGACACAAAGTGATTGGAAAAAGAAGTTTTTCGAATTGTTCCTCGATGATATGAAAGGATTGCCACTCATTGACGCATTTCTTAGTGGTTTGATGCATCCGATCATTCGTATCGGCTGTACTATTGAATTAAACAGTCGGTGGATAGCATGTAAAGCACTGACTATGACAGCTGTGTACTCTCGTTCTTCCTATAAGATATCCACCAAACTAAAAGCACCAACGAATGGGAAAAACGGAGCTCTTCAAGTTATGAAGGACGTTCGCTCAGACGACTATGTACCAAGTTAAGAAACGGTCGGATATGATATTAACTGTTGTTGATTGCGAGTACATGTCTATTCTGACTTGAATAAGACTCAATTTTTTCAAAGATCTCGTTAACGTCAATATCTTTCGCAAAGCAAGTCTGAGTGACAGACAGATAGGTATAGAAACTTAGTCCATTTACGATTATAAAATTAGTTTTTATTCACAATAACGAAAAACGATTCTATAACAATGGAAAATAAGTACACATCGGCAATTCGAGATTGTATGAAATGCCGGAATGTCCAAGAAGTAAAAAATACCTGGCAGACTCGAGTTACCGTTTCATCTTACTTTATAGATGTTTAGGTTTAATATTTAAACTGAGTACTTCCATGGGAAGTATACCATAAAAACACAAAGATCTCAGAAAATGTTTTAAGGTATCAGAGTTTATAGAGCTTTTTTCGCTGATCATTTTGATAAAAAAAATTCTCTTTTCATCAAAAAATAACGGCGCTAGGATCAAAACACTGAAAAATGAAAAAAATCGCGTCGGTTACTTGTTTTTTCAGTATTTTGACCCTACCACCGTTATTATATCTGTATCAAATACGAGTACGAAGTCAATGTTTCTTTATTGAACATTACTATTTAAGAGAAAAACAACACCAATATTGCTGTGCGATATTAATTGTCACTTAGGTTTGTTGGTTTTAACTTCAGAAGATATTTCTTCACAAGATGGTCAAATTAAGATCATGCGGCCGCTCGGGCAGCAAACGAGACGAGGACGATCGCTCCTCACCGGTCCCGTTCATAAAATTCAGAAGCGGTGCGACCGCACTCAAATGAATCATACTTCTCATTACAGAACGGACGGACCGCTCGAGCGGTACACGTCTCTGACCCACACACACACTCTCAAGTGAATGAAGATTGACGAAAAAAAAGAGAAATCAAAGTAAATACGCAACAGAACGACATCATTCTCGCTATGATGCTAAGCATCATATATTTATATTCGATCCCAGATATGTCAATTGTACTGTTCTCCTATTGACTTTTTCTTTTTGAGTTCTAAGTGCGTAGTATAAATTGCAATGGAAGACAAGCATGTGTTATAGAAGTACAGTGCCGCTCAATAGTAGTCCGCTAAAATTTTCTCAAACAAGCTTATATAAAGACAATTCAAGAAATATAATGTCGTTATCAACAAATACACAGATAAATAGAAGAGTTATTATCCGTATATCTGATAATCGAACACGTCGACGGCAAACGATTCTGTAACTACTGGGCGAGTTCATCACGCATTGATAGTGATCTGTTGCTTTTTTACATATCATCCGTACATTTAAACGTCAATGCTTGAAGATTTGGCATGGTATTGACAAGATTAAGGACAGTGGTTCATTCTTTGATATTGATAAGAAGCGCTCCACATCGATCACCCAATAGTGATCGAATTAATGAGACATATTGTGGACTGTAAAAGTGTTTATCATAGATTTGTAAATCTAATTGCCGAATTGAAGTATTCGTGTATTGCATTCGATACAATTGCAGAATAAGCTTATAGTTCATAGCCAATGAATATAAACGAGACATTCGGTAGAAAAAGTCGCGAAATTCAATTAAATATAGATGATTATCACCATAACAATATGAACTTAATCATAATTCAAACAAAGTCAATAGATCCAATACCAAACAGATATACTACAAATCATCATCGAAAGGAAATGATAATTTTAGGTGATGAATATTCGAAAATCGAATCGGCTGAAAACACATGTATGGAAATGAAGATTTATACTAAAGAGTATGTACACGATTATACGACCAATAGTTTCGCTCGTTTAGACAAGTCAATTTGGATAGCATGTTTTTTAAACAGATCAATTTCTTAAAAGGATAAGGTAGAGTATAGAGAAAGATTGGATCATTTGTCTGATGTTGATTCCAATTACATTGTACAAACCATTGATGTTTATTGAGCCAGAATTGCATACGAAAAGAATCGAGTAGTATATCGATTTGTTCGAAAACGTTCTTATTATTATCAAAATAAAAACCCATGCTCAGTCGAAACACATTGAGTTTGGACAGATGATTGACAATTATTTCTTTCCATTGATACCTACTGAGTAGATCTGAATATAAAAGTATTATCAAATCACACGAGTTTATATTCTATACATAGTGCTACAGAGTCTTCGCAATTGCGCTTTACTCATGTTGAGTAGCACATTTCCTAGAGACTGTCGAATTTTATGAAAATCTGCACGCATGTACAGAATATTTCACTAGATATGCAATCCAAGTTTCATACTGATTGCTCAATAACAAGTGAAGATAAGATTATTTTTGAAACATACCGGTATGAAGTTGCAATCAAAAATAATCACCAGACTATTAATTTTATTGCTAAAAAAAAATCATCTGATGCTGCTCGAAATCAAATAACGAGTAGATCAGAATAAATTATACTAAATTTTTTTCATTTTTTTGTTCAATTTCTGTTCATAAAAAATATTGATTTATACACCGAATGATAGAGCATTTCAAGCTCTACAAAACTGTTGACTTTATTTTTCAAATAAATTTTTCTTGTCATCACCAGATTAAAAAAGATTCACATCTACTCAATCATTCAGTTGCAATTTTCTATTTTCTGCTGACATTTATTGATTAGTATAAGCCTTTACTCATTAAGGCCGATACTACAAATAAATTATTTGACACCAATAAATAGAGAATTTTGTGATCTATGCATTCAGAACCTTCTCAAGATTTCTAGTGCTGCTGTTCAGGAGAACAAGGTTTCGAACTGGACGACTCTCTGTATTTTTGGATGCATTTTGGAAAACCATGTTTTCAAAAACTAGACTTGCTGTATGAAATATTTATTATTATGCCGTCGAATGTAGAATTTAATTCTGAACAAAATTGTGTAAATGTTAACTGAAACAGTGAAAACATTTAGGATGTGTCGAATTAAAAAAGAACAATGATTTAGGTCTATCAGAAAAGGGCTTTTTGGTGTTTTCACATTTTTTTGTACGTCAAAATTGTCTCTCAAAAATAGTTCTTCTAAAATTCTGAAACATCCATCCAAAGATACAGAATTTTTCGGAGAATATCGTGGCATAGTTGAAACTTCAGTGCAACCTTCTTTTATCTTTTTATTTTGTTTTAATCTTCGCAGTTAGACGATTCAGTAGATATCGATCTTTTAAATCTGACGCCGATAAGGACAACTTATTTGAAAAACAAAGTCTAGAGTTTTGCAGAGCTTGAAATTTTCAATCTTTTGATGTATAAATAAATATCTTTGATGCACAGAAAGTAAACGAAAAAAGCAAATACATTTCGTGCAATTTATTCTGATTCATCCATCATTATAGAATTCTACAAAAAAATATATATGTGTAACACATTGTATCAACGATTCGGTTCATAAATACATTTCTTAATTATCGTCTGTAACAAAATCCTGTTCATTTGAATTTGTTGCAGCTAGAATCGAGAAAAAATAGAATACATGAATAATTTTAAGCTAAAAAAGAGCTTACTCGACTTCTCATGCATCGAATAGTTTGCGTGCCAATTGGGCAAGGAAGTGACAAGCGAATTGTTACGTTCATCAGTTGATGCTGACTCTTGTTCCTTGATTTTATTAATCACCGATCTCCAATGGTCTTCGGCAATACTATTCTCAAGCAGCATATTGTCATGATCATTAAATGTCCTTTGTAATTTGCAAGCTTTATCTTGTTCTTTTTCTATTTTATTCGAGCTTTTGAATTTGAATAATGATAAAAATCTCGGTTTGTGCTTGACTGCTTCTAAAAAGAAAACAAAATCTCCATTGAAAGTCAATTGTATAATCACAACGAACCAGAATCAACAATTGGATCTGTATCTTTTTGTATTGATACCATTTCGAGATCCCCCGATTGACTTTTTGAAACTAAACGAACAAATTAAATGAAGACTGAATAAATTTTACTTACTTTTATCCAATTCGTCGATCGTGAAACTAAATGCTGCTCCTCTATTTGGATAGTTAGCAAATACAACGGGTATGTTCCGACCATTTTTTGACTCTACACTATTCTCGACATGAGTTATGCTGGTCGAATATTCATTTCGGTTTCTGGCACTAATCGGACTTAAAGAATGCGATTTAAAACCAAGAGCTAAAAATAGGCCACCACTTGTAATTTTAAGTGGTTGATCTAAGTCAAATGTTTGCACTTTTTCTCCATGTCCTCCATTGTTCAAAAGTGAACTATGAGCAACAACCTGAAACGTATTTGGATCGTCCGACACATGGGATAAAAGATAAGCCATGATGTCTCCTGTTGAATTGACTGATGAGATCGTGCTAAAGTGAATCTTTACTGTGCGTATTTGACCTGACGCATGATGGATTTGGTCTCGATAATTAAATACGACCATATTGTATAGATTCGCATCAATATGCATAATATCATTTCCATCGTGTATGCCGTACGTATTACCATCAGAAAAAAAGGAAATAGAAAGGTATTGTTATAATCAGATCCAACGTAGAATTTAAATATTTGATTTACCTGATTTTCTTTTCCAAGTTCTCATCAGATATTCGTCAATAGAATATAGAATATAGGCCAATACATTAAATGGCGGTGAAAAATGACTCTTCTTGGCGTATTCCATGACAAGTCGATAGCGATGGTAAGCCCAGTTTTTACGCGCACTGCGCTCCACATTTTGAATTGTCACACTGAACAAAATGGATAAAGAAAACGTTTATCTTTGAGTTAAAAAAAATCACTCCGATCATCATTACTTGAAAAGAGCTACTAAAACATTGAGTAACAAGACACTAGCAATACACACAAAGAAGATAGTCAAAATAAAAGCTATTGTGCCATAAGCATTATTCGGCACTAAAGAATAATTCAATTTGAGTTTCAGTTCTGTCGTTCAATCCTAACATATACTTACTCGTGATTTGCGTCTTATTTCCATAATGATGATCAGCTATCAATTCCACCTCACCATATGCCTTCCACATGCCCCACTGGATAACATTTCTGATTAGCTCCCAATCCCATAAATTTGTGCCATTGTTGAATAAAATAAATTCGTGACGATATGATGCATCTTTCGTATCCCTCCAAGTAACTTGCTCGTCAGTTGTAACCAATGCATATGATGTCACTGAATAACCGGCCAGAAAGACGAGGACAAAACAGATGAAAAATGCTAGATCTTTCATCTGTACGGATCATCAAGTACAGAGTGATAAATATTGATTTTCTGACAGTAAAAACCAAATTAAACTTACCGTATTGAAAATCATAAGCAACTTCGGTCCCAACCGCTCGTAAGCAGCAAACACTTGAAGTACACGAATATACCAGAGATATAAAGCCAAACACATCAAAATTCTAGAAGAGATTGCTTTCTCAATCTATGAACGTGTTTTTATTGAGCTCACTTCGAAGTGATGAATGCTGGTTCGTTGATAATAAATCGAGTAACGAAACCACCAAGATAACAGGTGATTGCAGTGAAGTCCAGAACATTCCATAGATCTTCGGAAAAATATTTCCGTAAAATCTTTCTCCGAGTAACACATTTGGTGCGTTCTTCATTCCAATGACGTTGAAACTAGTAAAAAAAAGCTGTTTAAGATTAATTTGATTGTTTTTTCTCGAAATCTCTTACTTCTGTTCCCTCTTCTATAATCATACACCACACAAGAATATGAACGAATAATTCAGCGATGGGTATTTTGATATTGACAACGCCGTTTCGAACACCACCATTGTTGTTAAGTGGAAAATAGTCGACAAGTAGAACAAAACTGAACAAGGTCAAGAAAAGAAGATAGAATACCTGAAAACAAGATTCGAAGTGACTACACATAATCAAGCGAGAACTTTCATTCATCATACAATGTTATAATAAAATCGAACGATTGCTCGTCGTGTATAGAATTGTTTGAACAGGTAAACACTTCGACGAAAATATCCGGCGATATTTGATTTATTCTCAAGCTTACTAGAATAGGGAAAATAGTTCGATTGATTATTATATAGTCGATGCCCTCAATAACAACAGACTTTTCAGAGAGGCCAGTAATTTGCTTTTTTACTAATCAAAATTTTAAAATTGTGAAGTTTTTTTTTACATTTCTGAGTGCAGAAATATTTGCTGTATCGAATAATGCAAAAATTATTTTATTATCTCGTAAATTAAACCTGTAGTTAGTAGCATTTTACGAGTAATTGAACTTGTTCTTATTATGGTCGCTTTTCCTAATAAAAACAACAAGTCAAAAACTATTCCTATTAAGAACAGATCATATAAAATGTATGAAAAAAAAAATGTTTTTAGTAAACAAACTTTTTCTAATTTGAACTTGAAAATATGAATATATTTCTGAAACA